AGGGAATAGTAAAGTAAACGAGAGTACCATACATTTGATGAAAATAAGAGAAAAGGGAGGGAAGGTAAAAGGAAGGAAATGAGAGAACAAAGGCAGTGATAACAAATGAAAGGTGAGTACAAACAGGAAGTAAATGACAGGAAAGGGACTAAAGGAAAAATACATAGAGAAAGAGAAGGAGCAGAGAGTAGAGGACTGAAGTTGTTACCTGATGATCTTGATGAGCTCACTCATGTTGACGTGGTCTGGCACCAGGAACTTGGTCTTGTCCAGGATGGGGAGCTGCTTCTCTCCTTTGTACCTCTCAATGATCACCTACACAACACACAATACATGAATCACACACACAATACATGAATCACACACACAATACATGAATCACACACACAATACATGAATCACACACACAATACATGAATCACACACACAATACATGAATCACACACACACACACACACACACACACACACACACACACACACACACACACACACACACACACACACACACACACACACACACACACACACACACACACACACACACACACACACACACACACACACACACACACACACACACACACACACACACACACACACACACACAACACACACACACACACACACACACACACACACAACACACACACACACACACACACACACACACACACACACACACACACACACACACACTCTTCTATTCAAAGGGCAATCTGTAGTTCCTCTGCTTGTTTTAGAGCAGAGTCCCTGATCAATAGTGCGAGATAGAGGAAGTCACACATATCAGGTGCTAAACACTGATCATGGCCCTCTGCCCTGTCCTCGTGAATGGCTCTGCTTGAGCAACGGACATGGAATCTTCCATTGAGTGATACATGTAATCAGGTTAGAGAGAAGGCCTTTAAAGCAGCACTGTCAGCACAGAGCGCTCCCTCCCTGACAGAGGGCACAGTGCTGCTGTATCACTAATCCACTGAGGCCTGCTGCACAGACGGAGGGTATACAATTCAAAACACTCAGTTACTGATCTGAGCCATCCACTGTCTTACTGTGTAAGCTATAATAATCCTTGTTCAATGTAAGTGATAGGGAGCTGTCGGACATCTTCTGGGAGTTCCTAAGTGCTGGACATCAATACAGTGGTGCAGGAATGAGTCCTCAACCCTGAAATGAGTGAGCATTTGTAACACTGCCAGGCTCTCTCGTCACACAGTCAATGGTTTTCTGCAAGTTTCCGGAAGTGATGGTTAACCCAAGCTTACAAGATATTTTACATTTTGTTCTACAACATGAAATATGTCAGTAAATACTCTACTGGTGAATATCTGAAGCACATGTGTTTGAAAAATGGCGGTGCTAACAAGTGACTAAATGAGAGTACTAAACTAAAAAAGGACAATAACACCAATGTTGTGCAAGAACGCTTCTGTAAATATCAAAAAACAATTATTGTGCAATTATTACTACTTTTACAGTTTATTTACAAACCGTTAACGTTATAGACTCCTTCATTACTTTATTTATTAACATGCTTTTTTAATTCAATATACAAGTCTAGTTTTTTCCAATCCCTTTTGCCTGCAGTGTATCTTTGTTTGTTTGTTTGTTTGTTTGTTTGTTTGTATTTAAAGGACAGTGCACATTAATCCACATTGCTGTAAATGAGCCAGTATTAGCCAGCAGGCTAATTTTCAACTGTTGTCCTTGGCAAGATGTTAAATGACCACAAGACTAGAAAATAAAAACATAATGAAATAGAGTACAGCAGACACCAGCAGTACAACAATAGAGAGGAACAAACACATGCAAACAGATGAAATATCATCATACCTTGATACACTTAAAAGTGTTCACATTTCTGATTGTTTAAAAGCCAGTTCTTATGATTGTGGTTAAATGTATGATAGGAGGTGTTATTGCGTATGTGTATTGGTGTTGTGTTCCAGAGTGTAGGTGTCCTCACAGAGAAGCAGTGTTTGCCAAAGGAACTGGACCTAAGAGGGACTACAGTCCCCTCTTAGGGCAGACCTTGTGGTTCTGCTGTTTGAATGGTTCTGCTGTATAAAAGTGCAGAGTGGTGGGGGTGCCTTGCCGTTTAGAATTTTAAAAATGAGACGGTGTGTTTTAAAATATTTCCCAGCTGAGCAGGTTATGTTTGTCCAGGATTTTGCAATGGTGGTATAGCTTAGGCTTTCTGTCCAAAACTTTGAGAGCTTGTTTGTGAAGTGACAGGATAGGCCTTCATGTTGTGCTATTCGCCTGGGATCCAGCTGCTCATACAGTATGTTAGGTGGGGGAGGATCATGGCAGTCATATAGAGTGTTGCTACAGGTGTTTGCTGCTGTGATGGCGTACATTTCCCCGCTGCGGGGCGAATAGAGGAATTCTGATACTGATATTCTGATAATGAAATCCTTCAAAGCCTAACATTAGCCTTTTACTTTTGGCACTTGCATTGACACTTATGTGGACATTATCCTGCTGAAGATAAATAGTCTCTACTATTTTTGAAATCTATATTTTACTTGTAATACGTAAAAAATCCACAAATTCTTTGTCCTACATTACATTATTTATTTTTGGGGTTTGAACTTCGAGTAGTAAAAAAGGACATTTGATGATGTTACATTGAGCTTGGGAGAGTTGTGATTCTGACAGTTTTCATGATGAAGACCAAACAGTGTATCAAAGAATAATCAGCGGATTAATACTTAATCAATACAAATGATAAGTTAGATATTTGTATGTGTAATTTGTTTGTATTTTTTTATTTATGCTAAAAACTGCTCGATTAAATAAGGATAATCAATATGAATTTTACTGTGTTACATATACATGAAAAATAAACGGGAAATTTGAGCAAGTATTATAAGTGCTTCACCCTCTGTTTGGCCAGAAAGCCGGTTATTTAATTTTGTTCTGCTCTGAAAACTATAATCTGTCTGTCATACAGTCTGCTGCATGACAGACCTCCCTCCCTCCCCCTCCTCCCCCCCCTCCTCCTCCTCCTCCACTGTGGCCGGCCGATGGAGTTGCCTTACAGTTACACAGCGCATCTGCCTCTGGTGTCATCATTTACCATGACTTGGCAGTTTGTAAACCAGTTTGTTATTTAATTTATTATTTATTTATTTAAATTTTTTCATTTGTAATCATCTCGCGACCCCCCCGACCTCCACTGTGGGAACCCCTGTACTAGAGTACTGTGCTTAAATACAACTTTAAGGAGGGAAAACCTCCTTTACTAGGAGGGAAACGTCTTAGTAACCTAGGGAACCTCCTTTACTAGGAGGGAAACGTCCTAGTAACCTAGGGAACCTCCTTTACTAGGAGGGAAACGTCCTAGTAACCTAGGGAACCTCCTTTACTAGGAGGGAAACAGTGAGCTTTTTACTCCACTACATTTCATTATCTGATAGTGTTAGTTACTTTAGAGATTAAGTTATGTAGAGTTCGACTGTAAGAGCAACTTTAAAAACTAAGTTTTAGTATTTTTACGCTACCAAAATGTCAAGATTTATGATTTTCTTTTGTTTGTTTGTTTGTAGCCTTTATTTAACCAGGTGAAAGCCCCTTGAGATCAAAAGACCTCTTTTTCAAGGGTGATCTTTAAATTATTTGAACCATTTTAATGTATTGTTGTTATAATTTTAAGGTGCTGATAGGACAAAACAAATAATATCAAAGGTGTGACTTTAGGCTACTGGTAATTGTGACAATAATTCTCACTATTTTCTTGATTTTTTTATAACCCTTTAACCTTATAAACATCAAAGTATAAAGTAATACTCATATTAATCCATAATGAAAAATAATCATTCCTTGCAGTCTTATACAAAATAGTTAAATATGAGCTCCACCTAAAAATGAATCAAAATAACCTAATGATATAATATATGAAAGTATACCACTCACAGGGGACATTATACTTTAAGTAGATTGTCCTAGTTATACCTGCATCATTTAACTTAAGTAACATTTTCAACTTTTTTTGTAACAGAATAATTGTATTGTTTGGTCTAAATACTTCCTCTACCACTGACAAAATATGAAATAAACTTAGAATAATCTCCCTCAATGCAACAATAACATCTCAAAAACAGAAGTCAAGAAGCACAAGGCCTTTTAAGAAATGTGTCTTCTGACAACAATCGACATTTAAACTATTAAAAAGACAGTTCAGAGTACACCCAGGAAACTTGTGGTAACACTTTCCGTTGCAGTACGATTTTCTTGTTCTTACTCGCGTTTCCTGCACGACGTTATGCACGTCACCCTCAGACATTTCTGCCTTTACAAGTGTTTCTCAAAGTGGCTTGAGAAACATGTGGCTTCAGTGTATTCACTGTATAAGCTTTGGTGTACACTCAATGATTGCAAGTGCATCAGAACTCACGGGTATCTTGTTGGGGTGCTGCTCTCGGATCAGTCGCACATCTTCTACTCTTTGTTCTGTTGGAAAGAGAAACAGACTCAGGTTAATGCAAAGTAACAGAACAAAAGATAAGCAGGTCAGTAGAGGCTAGCACTGATGAAGACAGACACAATCATAGACAAAGCAGATGCAAAGTCATGAACAGAGAACACAAATACTCAGGTGTAAACAAACCTACAGGCAGGTTATACCAGAAATTCTCTCTCCACCAGAAACACAGACCCCAGTGCTTTGAAATCAATTCATAACAATTCCTATTACATTCTCAATACTAGAAACATCTGGGGGAATTATTAAATGTTGTACACAGAAAATGTCTTGAGGCGCCCTGTTGAAAACATAAACAAATTATTAAGATATAATATGAGAAAATACCTAAACGCCTACATTCAAATCCTTAATAAAGTGAAAATATGTATCAGCTAAATCTACTTGAAGATTGAGCTGTATTTGTTGTTCTACAATTATATAGGACGTTTTTTTAGATTAATATTACTCTATTATTGTTGCTTTCTACTGTAGATGTTTCAGGTTGCTGCACATTTCCAGCTTCATATCAGTATGTAGTGTCTCTACTGGGACATGTCTCCATGCTTTCATGTTCAAAAAGCTCTTTATGTTTCTCAGACTGCCTGTGCTGCAGCACCTCTTTTCACCCTCTGTCTGAAACCAGAGCCCAGTCTGCTCTGATTGGTTAGCTGGCCGGCTCTGTTGTGATTTATCAACTGCTAAGAGATGTCCCGCCCCTTAGCCTATCACGTACAATGTGTTAGAGCGCTAGCCAGTAGACGCGCAAGAGTTACATAGTGATGTCATTATGTTATGGAAGTATCAAAGGAGTCCAATGGATGCGTTTCCAACATGGGGGGGGCGAGTGTGTGGGAGCCTTTGCAGACTATTAACATGCACAAAAACCTATATAACACACTACAGGAAAGGGTAAACCCCAACAGCACAATAGGGCCCCCACTGGACAGAACTGACTCACTGTTGCCTCTGTGGCTAGTCAGTTAGCATGCTAATTTCAGTTTTTTTGTTTGTTTTTTCAAAACTCCTGATACAACAATGACCCTTTTTATTCACTAAATGCCCTCAGTATAAGCTACATAATTTAAAATCATGCTCAAGTGTAAGTATCTCAGCTAAAGAGTTTTTCCTCCACAATGATTACTCAAAAGATCAGGTCAGTAACACGGCTACTGATTGGATGGATCTGTTAGGCACTAATGAGCTGTGGTAGCCCCTCCTTTCTGAGGTTTAACCCCATTTTAGGTTACAAATCACACCCTGGGCTTACTGCACTTTGTACTCACATCAACAGTCTCATGGTCAAAAAGGGATGAATCAAAGAACTCGAGCATGAGGAAATCATGATCATTCCCATCAGTTTTAAACGTTGACTTAACCTTTGGTAGAAATAGAAAAAACTAAGCATTGATTTAGAGAACCATTAAGTCATAGGCAGTAAACGCTGCAGGATTTGGATACAAATGACTAATTTTGGTTATTTTGACTGATATTGCAATATGATTTACGATATTAGGGATTCCATTTGTCATTATTACTTCTTTTTTTTTAAAGATAAAATTAAAATGATACTGAAATACAACTTCAAATTTGGCAATTTATTTTTTATTTTGCGTAGTAGTATTAGTATTTGATGTATACCACAATATGTGTATCCATCGTAATGAATCATGTTTTACCTGATCATTTCAAATGTCTAATCGGCAGCCCTGATGTCTGTCAGAGTACTTTGAGTTACTAGCATTTAGACTTGTTACATTCTTAAAAAGGTCATTAGTTTGCTAAATGTTAAGAAATGTAATTAAATCAACTGTCAAGTGTTTATTTTGCTGTAGCCACAAGTTTCCTGCCAAAATTGAGGAAATAGGACATTGTTTCATGGCTTTGTGTTAATCAGGATGAGTTCACCGCCCAGGAACAGGCAGCTCTGTGTGCGTCTCATCTGACTCTCTTGACCGCACCCAGCAAGCGACAAACAGACTCATCACTTTTCAGTCATAAAAGAGAACAAAAGCTGAAAATGGGAAGCAGTTGTTCTAAAAGCATACGGGGTATTCCACATATGTCTTTCGTGTCATGATATGGGAAATAGTCAGTACCACTTGGCAAAGCTGGAAGATTTCCTGAGTCATTGTCATGACCTATTATACAGATATGCACCCGGAACTGGTTCACACCCGGATACAGTGTGTCAGTGCAGTGTGTAGTGAACATTAGCAAAAGGGTGAAGCTTTAAAACTGAATTTACCCAAATGTGTGCCCAGATAATACCCAAAATATGATGGCAGCTAGTAAAGACTATCACAATATAAAAAAGGAACAAAGTACATTTACTCAAGTACATTTGCTTAAGTACTATATTGCCATTATTGTACTTTGCTTCAGAAATGCTACATCTACTCCACTACATTTTTAGAGGCAATTACTGTACTACACCTTTATATTTATTTTAAACTCATCCTTGTTACTTTTTTACATAGAAAAACACATAGGGGAGAAGGGGGTAAGTTGAGCCAGTGGGTAAGTTGAACCAAGGGATCAATTTCCATAGACCTCCATGTTAAAATGCCCAACTTTACAGCAGAAATAAACATGTTTACATCGTGGTTCAAAAAACCATATTCTCTGTATAGTTAGATTCCCCCTTCATGACTACTGTGTGGGGGGTGCATTTTTTCTCAACTCATCTGTTTAATTAATATTAAGCCTATTAAGTAAGACTTTTATAGTCTATGGCTATGACGCCCATAATGCTAAACGGGAGCAAATGTTAATAGGGGACCCAATTATCCCAGTGGTGGCCGCCGGAGCTAACGGAGCCACAGGGGGCTAGCTCCAGCCGGCGTCCCGGAGCTAGCCCACTGCGGCTCCGTTAAGTCCGGGCGGTGGAGTTCGTCTTTTCTCAACGTGTGAATGACAAGCATTAAGAATAACAAAATATAGCTAATTCTCTTGCAGATTGTCTCATTTGATTAGGAATGTAACATTTATATAGAGGAACTACACTGTAACTTGGAGTAACTTGGTATGCATGTATTTCATGTTAGCTTAGCTTCTTAGCCTGAGATAGCTCTGTTTACTTCCAGTTCGGAGGCAGCAGGTCCCGCCTATTTGCCCTTATTTGGAGCAGGCGGGATTAGACTCTGACAGTCGAGCCGTTAGTGGCCGACTCCGCCTACTAAGGGCTTCACGGCAACTCTGCAGAATCCTATGGGTGACGTCACGGACACTACGTCCATTTATATATATACAGTCTATGGTTTAAACCAGTCTATGGTTTAAGCACATATATTGTATATGTTGATGTGTTGGCAGCGTATTAAACCATGTGAATCATTAAGCTAAAGATGACTGAATTGTAATGCTAGGCTATTTTTTCTAAAATGGTGGCTATGGGGTAAAGTGAACCATGGGCCTTGGGGTAAATTGAGCCAGTTTATCCAATGGAGAAATGAATGAAAGTAGGCGAAGTTGATAATAAGAGCTCATTGTAGGCTACATTTAAAGTTGAATTTACCCTGTGTTTGTTTGGTAAGATATATGAAATTGTATCACCATTTGTATGATTACTTTAACTTTTAACATGTTAAAAAAAAATCAATCAATTCAATCGAAAGTTATATTAAAAATATTTGAAAAACTAAGCTTGTATTTGGTTTGTTATTTATAGTTACCTTTAAGATGTGTTGTAGGTATGACCAGGTTTGAACAGGTATGCCCAGGTTTGAACAGTGGTTCAATTTACCCCCTGACCTGGATCAACTTACCCCTACACTGGGGCAAGTTGAGCCACAAGACTTTTTTTTATTTTTAAGAAGTCATATTTTCACTGCCCTTGATCAAATATTAATTATTATTATTGCCATTGATAGGAGACTTCCTGAATTATAGGTGTGTGTTTTCATTTTTATTTCTCCTTGCTTAGAGGACAGCATAACTAAAAAATGGCTCAATTTACCCCACTCTCCCCTACTGTAATATGCTTATGGAAAGGTGGATTGCATTACTACTAATATACAACCCAGTATTTAAGATCTAGGTAATTTGGTTTCAGATTTAAAAACTACAACTTCAAAATGCTCTTCCATGTATTTGTTTAAAAATACATGTATATATAGGCCTACTGTGAAAAGAGTCGTTCTGCATGGGCCTACTACTTTATACTTTTACTTTTAATACAACTGTTTGTAATGCTCTTTCAGGACTTTTTTTTAATAGAGTATTTTAAAACCACAGTATTTCTACTTTTATTTAAGTTAAAGAGTTCCATCTCTGATAAACAACCACTAAAATGGAAAACTGTGTTAGCGGTGACGTACACAGCTAAGTTAGTACGCCACTTTAAGCTATGTTGTGATATATAATGATATATTTCCAAATTATTTACTTGTTAAATGTATTTACACTGTTTAATATGTATTGGTCATATCTCATTAGGTTTCTGAAGGTATTACACTAATAAAGAGTCATTTAAAGCTTTAGCTTAGCATTCTTTAGCTTGTTTTCAGATAGGCTACAGTCCAACACACGTGAAGATGTTCTCTTTGCTGACCGGCCTTCTTCACGTGCTCTGGTTGTGCACATTTGGACCAATAATGAGATGTTAACAGGAAGTCGGCTGCTTTTAGTCATAGTGGGAATTATTCCACTGCTCATGACAAGTTTTCATTTTCATAATAAATAATACTAAAGTACTTGCAGGTTTTTATTTAAATTCCAATTACTGAGAAGCACCACAGAGTATGACGTCAGAGAAAGGCAAATGGAAAAACGATAAACTAATTCGAGTATTTGTAAAAGCACCACAGGCATCGTCTTGACAGGGGAAGCCTAAACGAAACTAGAATCCGCATTGAGGCTGTGGCCTACCCTTCAAACACAAAGACACCAAAAGGTAATATTCGTCCTTTTAGGTACCATTTTGACTGTGTGCCCTTTTTAAAAAAAAGTCCTCTCTTCTCCTATCCACAAACTGTCCCATCCCCCAATCCTGCAGCTCTGTTTTCTCTGCCCTGCGTTTCGACACCACTTTGTTTTTCTCCCACAGCTCGGATGCAAATAAACACACCGACACTCAGGGAGAGACAGGCCTGCAGCAAATGGCAGTCTTACATATCTGTTAGCCTAGATACTATACTTAACCCTGTTTATATACGAGTGGAAACCATTTTTATTAAAACTATAAAGTCTGCTATATTTTAGGTAAGTTGACACGACCGCTACATATTGTTATGTTTGTCTAATAAGCTGTACGAAGACATACGTGCATTATGCTATCCCCTCTTTCAGTCAAATATATATTTAAACAGTCAACTGAAACAGCTAAACAAAATGAACGCTAATACTCGCCAGTGGGATAATAACCAACAACTATCTGGCCTGTCTAGATACACGTAATGTAGTTCAGGCTTGTATAGTCTAGATAAACAGCTTCAAACACACAGTATAACTCAAAAGACAGAGAGCAGAGTGTGTAAAATGCTAAAAGAAGCCGTAATAACACTTACCGAATGTCCTTCTTTGTTTGAAGGTTTTTTCTGAAGGCATATTGCGTCAAAGTCAACCAGTTGGCAGTAGATAAAAACGGAGGTAGCGGCTGAAACAACAATTCAAAAGCTAAAAACGATGTTTAAAAGTCTCAGTTGTCAACCGTGCTGGTAGCTTCTTGCTAAAATACAAAGTAAAGGACACTAGTTCACAGACGGTTTGATGTCCCCGCTTCCTTCCTCTCGCTGTGTTGTTATCAGGACGAGCTCGAGCAAGCAAAACAAACCTGTCAGCTGACCTCTGACGTCATATATCTCTCTCTCTCTCTCTCTCTCTCTCTCTCTCTCTCTCTCTCTCTCTCTCTCTCTCTCTCTCTCTCTCTCTCTCTCTCTCTCGACATTATGACAATCATTGTACATGAATTACAAAATGTCTTTAAAATACAAATAAAATAATATCAACATTCAAAGCGAATAATGCATATATACCAACTGTAAACAATATGTATATTCAGAAGAGTATATAATAATACGTATACACACTATAAAATATACAAAATAAATTTGAATACTCTCTTATATATGAATCTACTAAAAGGACAGAAACATATAGGCATAGTTTGCTATATACATTAAAATTGTGCAGTAGCTTTTCATTAAAGGTAATCGATATCCTGTGAGGTAGTGTAGCTGGCTTCAATATTAAAGGTCACCTCTTATGCAAAATGCACTTTTTTATGTCTTTTATACATAAATATGTGTCCCCGGGGTGTCAGAAGACTCACAAAGTGTCAGAAAATACAACCCTCTCTCTTTTCTCCTTACTCACATCTCTAAAAACGGGGGTACAACGGAGCTGATCCAGATTTGCTGCGTTTATGACGACATTAGTCAAATGTGGGCTGGCTTTACACCACGACCCTATAATCCATAATATAGCGTTTAATCACGGCAGCGTTTAACTGAGAATCTGGGTGGAATCCTCCTGCATGAGCTCTCCTCTCTTTTTTTCTTCTTTTTTTTTTGAAAGCTACGGACCCAGAATCAGCACTTCTCTAACAGGGCTGAAATAGAGGGATATGAGGCATGGCTAGAATGGGTGATCTGTGTGGTATTTTGAGCAAAACACTTCATAGACATGTTTATATATCTGAGACCTACAATATATGCCTAACAATTAGGGATGGGAAAGATTAATTGTATATTCGAATATTCCAAATTATTCAGGTATTCGAATATGAGGTTTTCTTTTTTTCTTGGAGGGGTGCCTAAGTTGATTACATATTATCAAATGGAATAATTCAATGTATGCGACAGTGCCATAGCTAAGTGTGTTAGGTCTAAAGGTTTGTTTTGCTCCGCTCACCGGCCCCTCACAGCGGGCAGAGCTGCAGGTGCTGATCTCTCTCTCTCTCTCTGGCGTCCGGTTATAATTCACTCGCGTTTATGTCCAAATCCATCAGATCTAGCTAGTTCTGGCTAATGACATGGCTGCTGCCCCTCCCTACACGCAGATCACGCAGACTCAAACCTCATCTTATGCCCAAATTCCAGCTGAGAGGGTCGTGAATCGCCTCTGCACGCGCCTATCCCCTGAGTAGACATGCTCATATTCTTAAAGAAGAATGAGTATTGAATAGCTGCATTCTGTGCATAGGCCCTGTTATAGGTTGTTGAGCTCTGTTGTCACGGGTTAGGGTTAACGTAACCCGTTATGTTGTTCGTGTATGATCCCTCTTTCATTTAAAAACCAAGTTATGTTTTAAGCATTAAAGCTGTAGGCCTATAGCTGTCAACTGTTCAAACTGTGATCACCAGTTCAATACATTTGACAAATTCGACTTGGTTTCTATACTTATTTGAACATGTCTTTTATTTATATTGTTTGTTTTTTTTTGTAAAAATGTTTCCCACATTTTTATTTTTTATAGGATATGAATGGATGAAACATGTTGCCAAACCAAAGAATCACATCTAAGTCATTCACAGCTGTATATATATATATATATATATATATATATTGTAATATACATGTTTAATATTGTAATACAATGTGCCATATTTGCCTGTTAACATAATTGTTTCTTTAAATTGACTTTTTACTTTTACTTCTTATACGTATTTTAATGTATTTATTTGTACGTTATCCTTTTACTGCCCATTGTTACTTTAACTTCTTGTGTTTTTTATGTGTTTTATCTGGGTTGTAAATTACAAAAATGCAGACTCAATTAGCCTTACATTACAACTTGTAATGTAAGGCTAATTGAAATGTCTGCATTTTTGTTTATTTATTTTGCTACACTCAAAAACTGTTGAACATATCAGAGAGAAAAACTCAGTGGACATTTTAAAAGGACATATGAAGACATATTTTCACATTTGTTTTTCTAGCGACTCTCTTTTAATTGGTCTTTTTTATTCTTATTACTTTTGTAGTGTTTTATTTATTTTATATCTTGTAATAAATGATTGTATTCATTCATTTTGTCTTCCTTTCTTTCACTGAGAGGGTTTTCTGTCTTGAACCTTTGAATCATTATTTATTTAATTGTGCTTTTTTATTAAAATAACTTTTGTATGTCCTTGTGTTATTTTAATTGTTATATTAAAAGTTATATTTGATGTGTGCTATGTGTGTGTGTGTGTGTGTGTGTGTGTGTGTGTGTGTGTGTGTGTGTGTGTGTGTGTGTGTGTGTGTGTGTGTGTGTGTGTGACAGACTGTGGAAGTGTGGGTTCATTAGTGTCAGTTAGTATCAAAGAGCAAGGAAAATACATAATAAACACCAACATGTAACACATATAATATTAACAACGCAAATAATGTATATTAGTCAGGTTAAAATAGGTAATTAAAGTTATAGGCCCACTAATATGGTTAGTGATGGATAACACAATTCAAACAATTAAACAAAATGTAATTCAATACAGAGTTTGGTTTAGTCATGGGCTTTCAAATTTGTAGCATTGTGTTACATTTGCTGTAACTTTACATTACATTTCATTTAGCTGACGCTTTTATCCAAAGCAACTTACAATGACCAATTACAGGGACATTCTCCCTGGAGTAACTAAGGGCTAAGTGCCTTACTCAAGGGCACACTAGTGGTGGTGTTCCTGGCGGGATTTGAACTCACAACCTTCCGATCTCCACCACTATCCCTAGATAAAGAGGTTTTTCCATGTCTATGACTTTTTTGTATTTTTATTTCCTTGGAAAAATGTTCTTTTCCCACAGCACCATTGTTCATTTCACTCGGGGGTTGAAGGTAGTTGTAGTTCAAAGAAGTAAACCAAGAATCTTTCAATTGAAGATAGACTACAAGATTACTGTTATTAAAATCCAACGTAATGTGTTTCACATCAAACAATCCTCCTCATCCAAAATAGGGCCCACTTAACATTTATTTTTAATATACATCTTCAAACATTATATATGGGGTTCTGGATAAAAGACAATAAATACAATTATTTGTATTTCAATAAACCATGTATTCAAAGCTTGATTATGATTGAATTACATTTAAAAAAACAACGATATATATATATATATATTGCAAAGCCAATTTCCTTTCAGAACATTTTTCTTTCTACAAATCACCACAAAGTAGCACCAAACAAAAAAAAAAAAAAAATTGCTGTGGCAAAGTGTAACGCTTAACATAAATGTATATCTTAGTTTTGAATGTACTGTAAACCATGATGTTTTAAATTACTGAAAGAACCCTTTTAATAACGGTTGGTCTACGTTATTGTTTTCCTTTTTTAAATGTTTCTTCTTTTTTTCGTGCAGTTCTAAAGTCAGTATATTGACGGGGTTTTTATGTGCTTTATATGGCCTGTTTTAAATGTAAAAGTATGACAAAATGAAGGTTCAGTTCTTCTTATTGTCCAGCAGGGGGAGACTTCTGGTCATTGTTGAATCACCTGAGTAGCGCAGAGCCTGGGGTTCAGTCTGGTTGGAACCCATGGAGAAATTGGTTTTAAATCAGTATTACCTCTCTCAGTCTTCTTCTGCTGCTTGCTATACGTTCATGCCTAAATACACTCCCCCAATGCAAATTGATAACTTCACAGGCTTGGACAAACATGTAAGAGGTGTTGGTCGGTCACCCCTCTCGTATTCACTAAATCAATCAATCAGTCAATATGTCTTTATATAGCCCACTGTCACAATGACATATTTGTGTCAGTATGTTTGACACCCCTCGCAACACACAAGGAAAAACTCTCAAAGAAACCCCAAAATTAACGTGAAAAACAAAAAAATGTATAAACCTTGTAGAGAGCAACAGCAGAGGGACTGCCAGGACGAAGAGATGTGGTACTGTATAGATGTCAGGTGTATTGATTTAAAAGATACATTTACAACAAAGAATACTAAATGATAAAAAAATGTAAAGTGAACGTATATAAAAGTTAGATCCAGGTGGACGCAACAATCCTCCAGGTGGTGTAAGAAAAAGTAACATGGACGTCAGGGACTTTATCCTCAACCCACACTAATACTTGTGTACATTTCCTTTTATTTTCTGCAGGAGCAGCTGATGTTACAATGGTTTATTCACCAAGGTACTCCCAGTGCATGATATTTTTTAGGTGGGCCATGCTGCGAAAATGTCCAACTGAAACCCCCCAGCTGGTGCTCAGAGAGTGTGTGAGTGTGTGTGTGTGTGTGTGTGTGTGTGTGTTGAATTGTTTGTTTGTGTGCACTTCCTGAGATCCACCTGTGCTTCTCCACGACAGTTTTCAATCAATCAATCAATGTTTATTTATATAGCGCAATATCACAAATGTTACATTTGTCTCAGTGGACTTCACAGTTTGTACAGAATATCAGTATGACAATACGACACCCTCTGTCCTTAGACCCTCACATCGTACAAGGAAAAACTTCCAGAGAAAACCCACAGTTTAAAGGGGAAAATGGGAGAAACCTCAGGGAGAGCAACAGAGGAGGGATCCCTCTCCCAGGACGGACAGACAATAGATGCCGTGTGTAAATCGAAGAGATAATACATTTTACAGCGTAGGTAGACCAAATGTTTGGAAATGCATGTGTCTGTAATAAGAAGATGAATCCACGAGGATGTCAACAGTCCTGTGGGAGCCATCAGGGAAGTAGTATGATGAGAGTCAGGCAGGACCGCAGAGACAGGTTCAGCCACGACTCGAAGTCCAGGACTCAGATCCAGAACTCAGGATAGAGAATCCAGGACACAGAATCCAGGACACAGGATCCAGGACTCAGGATCAGCCAGGGCTCAGGATCCAGGACTCAGGATGCAGGATTTAGGACA